CAAATTTTTTAATTGTATTTATTTTAAAAGCGCTGACACTCCCCAAGCTCATAGTTGATTGTGTGTGTGTGGGGGGTTGTTGGACCACCACTGTATGCTGAGCAGCAGTTCCAACAGAAGTTTCAATCGTGTAGCCAACAGGGCATTTTTTACCATCTTGTCCTGAATTGTATTGTGATTGCAATGTCTGCCTTATGTTGTAAAGCACTGCACAAACTGTTGGCGCTATATAAACCCTGTATTATAATAAATAATTTCAACAAAAGCTGCAGCACAATAGTACACTAACAAAACAAAAAAAAGACACATCTACCACTGTCTGGTTGCATAAAAATAACTTAATTGGTCTTTAGGCCAATTAATATTACCATATCTCCTCATATTATTACCGGAAGACACTATACACTTATTTAATACACCCTACGCTACTGCTACAGTGCCACCTTGTGGCAATTCTACAATACACACTATGGCTGTGCTTCCAAAAATATAAACTCATCACTTACCATTATTTCTGATTTAGTAAAAATCAGGACACATAAACCATCCAACAGCTCGTTTCAGATAATACAATCTAATTCATCATTTAAGGAGTGTTCTCTGTTGCCTCAGTGAGTGGCATTCATTGCAGGTCTGAACCTCACAGATGGCTGCAACATAGAACAGGTCTTAAGCTGGCCATGGACTGATCTACTTTTATTGTTCAAACCACATGCTGAACGAAATAAATAGAGCAGGTTCCTCCATCAACGCTACAATCACATTGATCCCAAACAGAATTGTCAATAAGTGGTTTTCTCTGTGCCTGAAGATATGCCCATCCATTCCGTGAGGCAGTGACTGGTATGAATAGCACTACTATGAGCTCTAATGATAGCGCTGTATTATGGGAGGATGAACAGAATATGTTTGAGCTGTATTCAAATAGAAAATAGCCAAATGCAGATGTTTAGAACCCTGGTAGATTGGTTGTCAACCTTTTATATAAAAATTATTAGAAGCACATGGGCTCAGTGAGAACATACTCTCTTACAGCTTGGCCATTACTATATGCAGAACTACATGATCATGACCAATCCGGTTTCTGTACTTGCTGTGCATGCGAGCGCATTGCTTCGAATGACCCATCAGATTCCTCCTGCAATCCCATCCAGCAGTACCTGTGCATAAAGAAGCTTTCTATTGCTTACTTTTTATGTCACCGCTCTTTAGCAATGCCTGGAAATCACGTACCTTTACCCATGTTTTGTCTCTTTAAACAATGTACACAAAAATACTGGCTGATGCTGTCAGAAATCCAGAGCTTCTAACTTGCTGTATGAGATGATGTTGCTTCTGCTGCATTGAAATCCCAAGTAGTGTTCTTAGCCCTGCCTGATTCTCTTTTGCTGGACTACAAAACACATCCACCTTATGTTTTAGATATGAGAGGGAAAGGTTTTCTGTAGTCCTGCAGACAAAAACTGGGCAGTGCTGACAACACTGTTTGGAATTTGAGTGCAGCAGAGGCACTGTGTTGTCAGCTCAACAGCTGGAAGCACACTGGATTTCTGGTAGATAATGTATTTTACGGTACTATGTTAGTGTTAATAAAGGGATAAAACATGCAGAAATGTATTACAGAGATGTACTAAATACATTTGTTTTTTTCTTATTCTCCTTAGGCATACAGCTGGCCTTAGATGGGCAGATATCTCCCAGGGAATGGCAGGGAAGGAGGTACATGCCATCCTGGCACCATTCCATTGAGCAGTGGGAACTCTCCCCCTCTGTGATAACAGCTGCAAGTAATCCTCTAAATCAGAAATCTAGCTTGTCATCAATGAGCCATCTATGGCCAGCTTTACCTACCCTTTCCTGGTATCGCTTTTCATAAAAATTCATGTCGTCTTCTGTTCTCCTCACATGAGACAATTCCTTATCCGCACTGGAAAGTCCTAAAGGGGAAACAGAAAAAGATCCTTTTATCTACTCAGCAGTGACCATTTTTATCAGTCTATTGACTTCAAGTACACATCATGACAGGATTATGGAGGCTGCCATTGCTGACATTTCCCTTTGTTGATTCCCTGGCTGTCAATGCTTTCTGAATCACTGAACCTGAACTAGTATAGAGATAAGCCATTTCAACACTGAAACTCATTTGCCCCAAGCTAGTTCTACTGCACTGCTTTGCGTGTAGTGTGTGTCACAGGCTTTAGACGTTTTAATTTCATTAAACCTATGAGACTGCATAAAAGGTAAAAGAATATAGCACGTGGTGTATGTTTACCGCTGTAAAAGCTGCCAATATTGGCAGCATACTGGAGTCCACAGTAATGGTGCAAATAATTCACTTCCTGCCACTGAGTGGCCTCATTTACTCCTCTACTGTACAGGTGAAACTCGAATAATTAGAATATCATGCAAAAGTAATGGCAGTAAGTGCTGCAAAAGGGGCCCAAACCAAGTACTGAGTACATATGCATGCTTGTACTTTTCAGAGGTCCGATATTGTTCTATGTACAATCCTTGTTTTATTGATTGCATGTAATAATCTACTTTTTTGAGGTTGTGGATTTGGGGTTCTTGGGGTTTTCATGAGCTGTAAGCCATAATCATCACAATGATGACAAATCACGGCTTGAATTATCTTGCTTTGCATGTAATGAGTCTATCTCATATATTAGTTTCACCTTTTAAGTTGCATTAGTGAAATAAATGAACTTTGCACGATATTCTAATTATTCGAGTTTCACCTGTATCTATGGAAGGCATCATGGTTGTCACCAAGGCTGGACTCTAAACATATAAATATGGACAACAGCACTTCAATGCTAGAATACGTCTATTTAATGACATACGTGCAAAACATACTTATTGCAACGTTTCTAGGTCACGCAGGATCTCCTTCATCAGGCAGAACAAGATGGGGAAGGGGATTCTAGGTGACCACCAAACGTTGCAATAACTATGTTTTGCATGTACGTCATTAAATAGACGTATTCTATCATTGGAGTGCCGGTGTCCCTATTTATCTGTATTACCGAGACGGTGGCCATCTGTCGACTACCGATGCACCCACTTTATCTCAATGCATGAGAGGTCAGGAGTGCAATGGGTACATGGACTGTAACTGATTGTGGATTCTAAACATGTCTGCCTTTGTTTCTCTCCATTACATAGGGGCTGATGGCATTAGTAGTTTTCAGAAGAAAGAGAACATTATTTGTTCTTTCTGTGAACCTCAAGAAAAGTGACAAGGACAACGCGGTTCTGGCAAGATCAACAGGTACCTTCTGTACTTGCTGAGAATGTGCTTAGCCTGCAATAAGAAAACAAGAACATCCACCATATGTAAGGACTAGTAAGCTGCAATATATTACTATTTTATTTGGGGTATAGTTATGCTTTAAAGCTGAACATCATGCAGATAAAAAGACAAGAAACATAGCAGTGTTGCACTCATTAAAGTGACATTAAAAGGCAAAAACATTTTCCCCTCCCCCCAATGTTAATGTTAGCACTTACCTTAAATGATATCTCTTTTTCCGATCTTCCTCTTCTCTCCTGATGTTTTCAGACTTCTCTCCAGCGGTGCGGCGGCTCTCTGATCCAGCGCTGACTGCTCTGTCCCTGCGATCCAGCGGTGTCTGCATGCGGGTGCACGCGTCCATAGACTTACCTTGCGTCCCTCGTCGCGTCCCTACCGAAAATGAGAACTGTGCATGCGCTTGCCCCAAGATCCTTTGCGGCCGCTCGAGAAATTTCTCATTTTCGCACGGGACCGCGCACGAAACACAGGGTAAGTCTAAACTGTTGTTTGAGCGGGTTTTTAAAAACTGTTTGCATATATCTACTGCTTGCTACCGGTAGCAGTAGATATATGCAAAAAAACGGGAGGGTTTAAATATCCTTTAATACCCCAATATATTTATTTTAATAAATGCAAGTACATGTATTTCACTTGGTGTTAGCCCCTTGCACACCCTGTACAGCAGAGCTGGGACTACCAGAGAGAGAAGCAACACAAAGAGAGCAGAGTGACAGAGAGATGTGCCTATCAGTCTGCTGCTTCTCCCATCAATGTCCAGTAACAGGCTGGGGAAGGACAAGACCTGTCAATATTACTGATCTGTAGCAGAGGAAAATCGAGTTTCATGCCCTGCCGGACAGGGCTGTTCTGTAACTCTCAAAACTGGAGGGACAAAAATACAGATTCTTTGGCAGGTAAGACAGCTTGTATTTCACTGGAGTTCAAGTTTAACAACCAGAAAAGTGTGCCTGGCAGGCCGCAGCACAAAAACATCTGTTTGCAGTTGCCCTGTACATTTTACATTTTAAAACAGTGTTTATGTTGTTCTGCAAATGTAAATTTCCCAGTGGCATGAATCTGGTCATCGTTCCACTTAACCCTTGCCATCATTATTAGAATAAAAACACAAATATTGATATACTTAAGCAGTGGGACTCTGAAAAATCCCGAGGAAATCATCTCATGCATCAAATTGCCACAATCTAATGCAATTTATCTTTCAGAACATTAGATTTCGCTTACATCCACAAAACTTCCAGTGTGCTTAGAGTAGCTGAAATGTACAAAATCTTAAAGTGACACTAAACTCGGGAGTTAAATCTTAACAATGCATTCAAGTGCCTGAACTATTAACAAAACTGTATCATATTTGTGTATCACTCGGCTGTAGATCCTCAAATCATCTCTGAATTGGTGCTGACAATGTCCTTTCTTCTGGAGGGGGGCTACTTTTGTTCCCCATGTTACCTTTGTGTGTTGTAAAGTAGTCACCGCTCCAAGCTCACTCCTGTGATAGACTACAGTCTCATGTTTAGCTTACTCATTTGTATTGAGATTGTAGTCCATCACGGAAGCAAGCTTGGCGCTTTGGCTACTTTACAACACACACAGCATGGAGAACAAAAGTAGCCATCCTCCAGAAGGAAGGACAGTGTCTGCACCATTTCAGAGATGATTTGAGGATGTAGAGCTGAGTGATACATAAATAAGATACAGTTTTATTATTAGTGAAAGGAGATCTATGAGGCGAGTGATTTCCACTCATCCTCATAGTTAGAGTCGACCTGTGACAAAGAAGCTGTCAGAGGTCGGCTCTATCGATCGGGAAGTGAGCAGAAACATGCACCGATTTGCTCACTTCCCGAACGCCTCCCTGCAGTGAGCGGTGACCATCAGTCACCGCTCCCCGCAGGGATTCCCCCCTCCCCTTTCCGATCCTCCAGCGCTGAGTGGAGTAACAAACGGGGTAGGGGGCGGGCACAGCTAGGTCTGCCTCTAGATAGGCCAAGCCAGCTGTCACTCACGTAGCTGGGTGGCTATCAAGCAGTAGATATAGGCAAACAGTTTTAAAAAAACCAAAAACGCTAAAACAGCGGTTTAAACTTACTTTTTTTTCTTTGCGCGCTCCCACCCGAAAAAACGAAACTGTTCGGGTGGCCGCAAAGCATCTTGGCACGGGCGCATGCGCAGTTCGTATTCTCGGCCGGGAGACGAGCAGAGACGTAAGGTAAGTCTATGGACGCGTGCACCCGCATGCAGACACCGCTGGATCGGAAGTGCCTGCAAGCAGAGAGGAGTCAGCGCTGGATCGGAGAGCCGCCGCACCGCTGGAGGGACAGATGAAAACATCAGGAAAGAAGATCGGATTAAGAAACATCATTTAAAGGTAAGTGCTAATGTTAACATGGGGGAGGGGGAAAAAAATGTATCCTTTAATGTCACTTTAATCTAAAGGAAGGATGGATACTAACAGGGTTATTCACAAAAGGGTGAAGAGTTTGGAGAAGGAAGGAGAAGTGAACAATCTAGGACAACATAGCTGATTTGGGAAAATTCTCCAATTCCGCTCACTTTCTAGTTCAGCTATGTTGGCCTAGATTGTTCACTTCTCCTGCCTTCCAAAACTCTTCTCCCTTTTGTGAATAACCCTGTAAAAACAAAAAAATTAAAATCACACAGTAATATATGTATATGTGGTTACCGGCAACTGCTGAGGATGAAGGATCATACGCTCTTAGAAAAGGGTGGGATCCACAACCTCCTGATGCTTCCAAAAAACTCCGGTCAGGAGCCCCTAAAAGAAAACCCGGAATATTAGAAGACATTTGGTGACAATGAAGTCAAAATCTAATATTAACTCTTGCTCCCTCTTTTACTCGTACCCATTCCTACCTACCTTTTATCTTCCAATCCCCAACAACCCCCTAATCATTTCCTGCCTCCTCCAGCCCTTCCCCCTCTTCTATTATCATCTGCCCCCATCTCTCTTCCTTTTCTACATCCCTTTCCTAACATCAGACCACTCACTAAATACATTACATGTAATATCAATAGGGGCCTTTTCTTTCTCCACAAACTTTATTCTCCGTTGAAAAGAGATTTTGTTTCCTATTGATGGAACATGATTATTAGAGTTCTTAAAGTCACATTAAACCCTCAGAGTTTTTAACATAAACCAATACTGTAATGTGTGCCTTACTGTAATCCATGGTTGTTTCCCTTCTCTTTGCTGCTCTTCCTGTTAAATCTTTATCTGTTCTTATGCTGGGCAGAACTTCTGTTTTGCAGCAGACTGCCTTGTCTCTGAAATGGCTACATGGTGTCTGTGTGTAGGTTCACAACCTGAGCCAGCACTACAGGAAGAGGCCCTCAGCTGCAAAGGGAAGTTCTCCCCAAGCATGAGAAGAGATACAGATTTAAAAGGAAGAGCAGCAAAGAGAAGGGAAACAACCATGGATTACAGTAAGGCGCACATTACAGTATTGTTTTATGTTAAAAAATCTGGAGGGTTTAATGTCACTTTAACATATACCTGTTGATCCTGCCAGAAATCCTGTGTCTAGCAACTTCCTTTGGCCTGAACTCCAATCTCAAACAATGTTACCAGCTTTCTGTAAAAGTACAAAGCAAAGCCCCTCTATGGATACAGTACAACCAGCAAACACTGTCACCCTAGAACAGGAAGTGCGTCATTGGCAAAATCACCAAATGAAAATAAAGAAAATCATGTAGCCACCACACCCAAGGACAGGTAAGCTGCAATCTAAGACATTGTTGTTTTTGGATTTAGATACACAAGCCTCCTTAGTTTCAACCCCATATGTAGGGATAAGCTCAGTTTCGGTTCAAGCTCAGTCTGGACCGGAGCGCCTCCAAACCTAGAAGTCGACCCTCCCAAAAAACAGAAGGAAGCTCCTTTCGTGCCACCCAATCAGCTTCTGGTAAGGAATTCCCCATCCGCAGATGGAAACTAGCAAAGGGGCGGGATGCAGTGACCGTTTATGGCTACATGCCTATATTTGGTGACATGACATTTACCTAATGTTGCTATGTGGCCATATTAGGTGAATTATGTCAGCCTAAGAATCCCGCACCTGTGTTTACATGCAGCTGTGCCCATGGCACTTCCTTCTTCTGAGGAGCTCATCCCGACTCATAAGCAGCTGTTATTTAAACTACCTTTTGTCTTCCTAACAACAAGAGTATTCTTCTGTATCACAATGTACCAATTCTGCATATATGCACATGTCATGTTTGCATTTATTTTATGCATCTCTTTTCTAAATATTTCTAATATGCACGTGTTAACCCTTTTACTGCCAGATAGTTTTACCTTAAGATTACTTAAACCGCCCATTTTTTTTATTTTCTATAGAATGGTGGCAGTCACAATTTTGTATGTAGCACAATATTTGTAAAATCAAAGTTTTTAGGGGGAAAAAAAAAACACACAAAAATTTGTAAATACCAAAAGCGATACCAAACATGCGCCTGTAACAATTGCTAACATTTTAGGTTCTTTTTTTATTTTGACAATATTGTAAAACTGTTTTTTTCTACTTTATTGCAATCACTTAGGGGGCTTAGAAGCCATGTCTGTCCTGGGCTCGCAGGGAGGGCAGTGGAGCCCAGAATGCAAGATGGGGGTAGTCTAGTAGTAGGGTATAGTAAATTTGGCGGCCCATAGAAGAGATTGGGCAGGTCTTAGAGATGTCCTAATCACTTCCATCCAGGTGTGTATTCATGCAAAAGTGTTACATGTATTTTAAATGTAACTAGTATATGTAGTCTTGATATCTGCAACCCCCAGCATAGCCGCGCTTAAACTGGTAGAGGGAATGTCAGTATCTTGAGCCATTTGGGGCGCTATTGTTTTGCACAGTGCTGTCAGCCTAACACTGTGAACATGCTTATAGGAGAAGACATCATAGAGATGACTAACAGTGTGCTGCCTATTGTATATTTACAGCCTGTGCTAGAACCTGGACCAGACTATATTGTTTAATTGCAGTGTAATCTGCATGGAGGCCCAAGACTTGGCTGTGCTTACTGCTAGATATAGCTGGATCACAAGACTGACTGAACAGAATTACAAATACATAGCTGGTAAAACAGTTTACTTGTATGCAGTTTAACTAGATATTTGGCTCTCTATCTGAATTGCAGCATTAAATGACAAAATGTCCACCCTCATTTGTTCTAGACTGAAATGGATCTCTACTTACCTATCCCACTTTCATCTAGTCTCATGTATCCTTCAGCAAGTGAGCTAAAGCCCGTCAGTCCCCCCATAGCAGCATAAGGGACATCTTGGCCAACGGGTTTTCCCTGAGCTAGACGTTCTTCCTTTGTCTCCACGACAGTGTCATGAGCAAACGCAGGCTGGGAACAACCACATGTGAAAGAACTGTGGAATCCTGCACAACCCGAGCCTGTGAGAGGTGATCAGAAACTCTAAGCATTGCTATACTTTATTAACCATATACAGCTGAATGCATCACATACAGTAAGCTCCAAAGCAAGCAAGGTCACAATAAAGTCACACACTTGGTCATATGGTCATAATACAGAACTTGATAAACTAAAAGGTCAGTTCATCCAAACTGTATGTTTTGTTAAGGATATACACTATATTGCCAAAAGTGTTGGGACGCCTGCCTTTACACGCACATGGACTTAAATGGCATCCCAGTCTTAGTCCTTAGGGTCCAATATTGGGTTGGCCCGCCCTTTGCAGCTATAACAGCTTCAACTCTTCTGGGAAGGCTGTCCACAAGGTTTAGGGGTGTGTCTATGGGAATGTTGGACCATTCTTCCAGAAGCACATTTGTGAGGTCAGGTACTGATGTTGGGCGAGAAGGCCGGGCTCGCATTCTCCGCTCTAATTCATCCCAAAGGTGTTCTATCGGGTTGAGGTCAGGATTCTGTGCAACAACCCCACACCATAATCCCCCTCCACCAAACTTTACCCTTGGCACAATGCAGTCAGGCAAGTACCGTTCTCCTGGCAACTGCCAAACTCAGGCACGTCCATCGGATTACCAGACAGAGAAGCGTTATTCGTCACTCCAGAGAACACGTCTCCACTTCTCTAGAGTCCAGTGGCGGCGTGCTTTATACCACTGCATCCGACGCTTCGCATTGTACTTAGTGATGTACGGCTTGGATGCAGCTGCTCGGCCATGGAAACCCATTCCATGAAGCTCTCTACACACTGTTGCTGTGCCAATCTGAAGGCCACACAAAGTTTGGAGGTCTGTAGCTATTGACTCTGCAGACAGTTGGCAACTTCTGCGCACTGTGCGCTTCAGCATGCGCTGACCCCGCTCTGTCATTTTACGTGGCTGAGTTGCTGTTGTTCCCAGTTGCTTCCACTTAGTTATAATACCACTAACAGTTGACCGTGGAATATTTAGTAGCAAGGAAATTTCACGGATGGACTTATTGCACAGGTGGCAACCTATCACTGTACCACGTTTGAATTCACGGAGCTCCTGAGAGCGACCCATCCTTTCACAAATGTTTCTAGAAGCGTCTGCATGCCTAGGGGCTTGGTTTTATACACCTGTGGCCATGGAGGTGATCGGAACACCTGAATCCAATGATTTGAAGGGCTGTCCCAATACTTTTGGCAATATAGTGTATATAGGCTTCTCGTAAACCAAAGTAACCAGCACTTTTGCAGAAATATTTTTTAGGCATGTTAAAATTCTATCCACCTATGCATTTCAGAATGTATGATGTCCTCAGTTATAACTATGGATAAATAAAGAATTAGGTTTTATGGATTCTGTCTATAGAATGGATGGTTACTTTAGTTTGTTGGGGACTTGGTAGCACCACCGCTGCTAACGAAAGCGCACGGCTATTATCAACTGTAAGTGAGCGGTCTATCTATTCTCTCAACATAAAATATGGGCTTTTCAGAACTAATAAGGACTCCAGAAAAGGGTTAGTTTGCTTGTTTATACATCTTCGGCCACTATCTGATTTCATGGCTAGTTGACAAATGCTCATATGAAGCACAACATTTACCAAAGCTGCAGAATAACTGGCTCATGTACGGCAAACAGACATTTCCATCTCAACAACATCATTCAATATCAATTTGAATACAGAACCTACAAGACAGAATTGTCCCATTTGTGCACATCTGACCATTTAAAGGAGAACTATGAGGTGAGTGCTTTTCACTCACCTCATAGTTCTAGCCGACCTGTGACAATGAGACTGTCACAGGTCGGCTCAGTAGATCGGGAAGTGAGCGAACACATACCGGCGTTCGCTCTCTGTCGTGACAGGGGAGGGGCTGGATTCCCCCCTCCCCGCTCCGATCCTCCAGCGCTGACTGGCGGAATGGACGGGGGAGGGGGCGGGTAAAGCTGGCTCTTCCTCTAAATAGGCAGAGCCAGCTGTCACTCACGCAGCTGGGCGGATCCAGACATAATTGTCGGTAGCTCGCGGTATACTGAGCTTAGGGTGACGGGAGGACGCTAGTTTGTGTCCTCCCGTTACCCTAAGAAGAACTATGGGGAAAAGCCCTGACCCCATAGTTCTCCTTTAAGCCAATTCCCATTGCATGCACAAATGTTTTACAAAGGTGCTGGACAACCGCATCTTACAGATATTCCTATGGACATCAGATGCAGATTTGCCACAGATCAGGTTGTTCAATTCCAGGTTACAAGTATAGCGCTACAAGTCAGATGTCTTCCTGTAAATATATTATACTTGCATATAGACATGCACCTTCCCAGCTATACAAATAAAGGACAGGATCAAACTTGCTTGGTCAACAATATGTGTAAGTAGAGAACAATTCTATAAATATAACAGAATATCACTGGGTGAGTAAATGATCACTACAAAGCTTTATGTTATGTGTGGAGGGCCGTTGCAAAATATAAATATCTTATTGACTTATTGATATGTCTTATTGACATATCTCTTGACTTTTGAGTACTGTGGGTAGTGAGGGATGAGAATTGAGCAGTGAAGTGCTCCAGTGACATCCCGGTTCCTCTCGCTACGTGCCCATTCACAAAATGCCTTGCATTTTTCTCAAAGAATACAAGGCGTTCTGTGATTGGTGAGGGATGGATGTTATCACATTCCTGCCCCCAACTCCCCTTCTCCAATCACAGAACGCCTTTTATTCTCTGAGAAAAATACATGGCATTTTGTGAATAGGCAAGTAGTGAGGAGGAACTGGAATTAGGGATGTATTGTTTTTCGGTATCGAGTACGAGTACTGATATTTTTAGTTCAATACCAATAGCGGAAGTCCCATTAAGGAAGCCAGGTGGAATGTTATGACTCGCTGCCCCGGCTTCCTGGCCAGGTGGCGAGTGATTACACGTCGTCCGGCTTCCTGACTGGCCATGGAGCTGGCTTTCTGGCCAAACAGGAAGCCGGTGGGTGAGCCATTACCCGCCCCCGCCTTCCTGATTGGCCAGGAGGTCAGCTTCATGCTCCCTGGTAACAAGAGAGCATGGAGCCAGCTTCCCAGTCTATCAGGAAGCCAGGCAGTGTATAATGACGCACCGCCTGGCTTCCCGATACTGGACATTTGGGATAGGCATCAGGAGCATTAGGGCGCGTACGAGTACTTCAGGAAAACAGAAATGCCCAGCTCTATATAATAAGCCCATTAAGACTGGGGATTAGATTTGATAACAGGAATACACCTCTTACATTTTGTACAGCGATAGGATCCGGCCACACTGTGGTCCTCAGCAAAGTGCTTGCACCTGCAGCGAATAGGCTGCGACCCATTCAGAGGCACATAGTGATAGGACTTGCACTGGCATTTACTGACTTTACAAGGCAAGTGAATGGGATGCTCCTTGGGAAGTTCCTTAAAATCCGTCTTATGTTGTTTGTACCTAAAAGACAGTTAACAGCTTTAAAACACAAATAAATCAGAAATTTGAAGTCTAGCATAGATAGGGTTATTGGCCGATACTCGGTAACATTTTTTAACATTTTTTAATATTTCTAGCAGTGAAATCATGAACAATAGGAATAAATCTTATATCAGGGACAAAGCCCTGTGGATTATGTGAAAAGGCACAAGTGTGTGTAGGACAAAATGCAGTCCAGGGCAAGAGAATTCACAAGATGGGTGCATGCAACAAGTCCCAGGTTGACCTTGGGCCTGGAGGAGCGGAGGGGTACTTTCTTGATCACATTAGATAGAGTCAGTGAAAATTGCAAACCCGGGTTCAATACAACAAAACTGGTGATTGTAGAACCTTTCAGAAGCCTAACAGGCTCAATCTAATCGCTCAAGGTGGTAGCTGTTTGTGCCGGCTGTTGCTGCAGAAGAACAAAAGGGTGAGAAAAAAGAAGAGAGAGAACAAGAAAGAGAAGAAAAGTGTTAAAGGGGAGGAGAGGATCCCAAAAGAATATTTTGCCTCCAATTGTAATTAAGGCTTTGTTCACACCATGTCCAGACCAGATCTGGAGCAGATCTGCAAACGCAGTGCAGTGTGGTTTTACCATGGTTTTTGTTTTAGCTTAGAGTGGGCTTTCAGGTAGAGGTGCAGCGAAAGGAAAATTTTAAAACCGCAACGAAACCGAAATAAAAAAAAATGTCAGGCTGAAACCGAAACTGCTTTCTAACTTTTTCAAAAAAATTAACATTTTGTTTTTATTTATTTGTTATAAACTTTTACATTTTTTTTTTTTATTTATTCATTTTTTATTAAATATTTTTACTTTTAGGGGCTTCAGGGAAATAGCAGGGGTCTAAACAGACCCCTGATATTTCCCTTTTAAAATAGAAAAAGAGATTGAAAACACAGAGTCCTCAATCTCTTTTTCTGCAGCCTCTGTTATAAATTAACAGGAATCCTCTATACTGAGTGTTCCTGTTCATTGATAACATGAGGAAAGTGTATGTTTACTATAACCACAATCATGAATGAACAAGAGGTGATGTAGATCTCTTCCCATTCATTCATAATTGAGGATATAGTCACCATGCTATGTCTTCAATGATGTACAAACACTCAGCGATCACTGAGTGTTTGTACCTCACTCACCTTCCTGACAGCTGTCACAGGAGGCTGGGCAGGGCGGTGTGGAAGGAGAGCTCAGCCTCCTGTTACAGCGCGGGCTGTCTCCTCCCACACACCGCTCTGCCGGGCTGTGACAGGAAGCTGAGCCGTGTGGGAGGAAAGACGCCGGTCACTCATAGTGTTCTCCTCCCGCAGCGGTCGGTCGCATGTGACAGTTTCTCTCCTCCCCGCTGGGTCACAGAGCAGCGCCCAGCGGGGAGGAGAGAAAGAATGGATGCACCGCTGTATCGGCAAGGAAAATGGCACTTTCGGCATTTAGCCAAAAGTGCAATTTTCGGCCGATATACCGGCGCAGCCCTACTTTCAGGTGCAGTCCAGTGCGTTTGCATACATTTTGTGATGCGTTTCCATGCATCCCAGGCCAGAGAAAAGGTGACAAGAAGTATTTTTTTTTGTCTGGACTAGAATTGACTGCTTTGGTGTGAACAGAGCCCAGAAATACCATAGGGATACATTGGGATGCTTTTGTGGTCTGGGAACAAGCTGTTCTGGTCTGGACATGGTCCGGACATGGAATGAACACATCATTGTTAATGATCAATTCTTATTTTTGCTACAAAATATCAGCATACAAAACTATGCAAACCTATTCTTCTAGGTATTCAAAGATTGCGTTATGAAGTTTATTTCAGCATTTTTTTTTATGTATCATTTTATTTGAGCAAACTGCACCACAATTTACAGAATATCAAAAGGAACAAACATTGCTTTGTTGTAATGGTCTACTATTTTATCAAATGTATAATTGGCTGTTATAATATTTTTCTTGGATGTAAATGTAATAGATGTTTATACTGCAAGCTGCTTTGCCTTTTGTCAATTAGAGTCTTCTTGTGTTAGGACTTGTTCACACCATATACAGTGCATTCCAGCGTGGTTAGCTGCTGGGACACACTGTATAACATAGTAAACTCCCCCCCTGCGTTCTGGGGCATGGCGGTGTATTGAAGTCAATGGCACCGCAGCCACACACCCTGCCCGCAGTGAGATCACCCGCACTAGAATGCGGGCACAGCAATGCCTGCGTTCTGGTCCAGTGCAATCTGAAAAAATAGTACATACAGCATTTTTTTGGATCGCACTGGACCAGAACGCAGAAACTGATGTGCAATTAGAAATGAATGGCACAGCGGTTTGCGTTTGTGCACAAAAGTGTGCAGATCGCGGCATGATCGTGGATTGTTTAGATGTGAACCGGGCCTTAAAGTGACATTAAACCCTCAGAACATAAAACAATAGTGTAATGTGTGCCTTACTGTAATCCATGGTTGTTTCCCTTCTCTTTGCTGCTCTTCCTTTTAAATCTGCATCTGTTCTCATGCTGGGCAGAACTTCTGTTTTGCAGCAGACTGCCTTGTCTCATAGGTTTGTATAGGTTTGTAACCTGAGCCATCACTACAGGCCCTGAGCTGAAAAGGGAAGTTCTCCCCAAGCATGAGAAGACATGAGGATTTAAAAGGAAGAGCAGCAAAGAGAAGGGAAACAACCATGGATTACAGTAAGGCACACATTACAGTATTGGTTTATGTTAAAAAATCTGAGGGTTTAAGGTCACTTTAAGCTGCATAGTTTTCATCTCCAACAACAAACACACACTAGTATCTCATCAGTGTTTATATATAAGAAAACCGTATACAGCAGAAGAACCAAGTTCACGCCCTGGAAACATGAATACAATGAATGCTCACTTTCTCTGTTTGTTGACTTTGCAATACTACTATATTGCTTGTTTCCTTTTGCTGGATTTCTTTGACTTACCTTTGTAAAATATGCACTTTGTACAGTCAATAAAAATAAAGAGGTACTTCAGAAATGAGCTCAAACTTTATGAAATAAAGTGATTACTGTTTCAATGTGAATGCAATCCGAATAAATGAAAGAGCGAATGTGTGTGTCATCCTAGACTCAACATGGCCGCACCCTTTAATCCAATGTAACAACTAGACACTGGGCACCGTTACCTGTGTGTGCAAAAGCAGAGCGTCTCGGGTCCCACAAGTTTACAGTCAATTCCGTTCGGTGATCTCCAGCTGACAAATAATCGGTTTTGCATTCGCATTGGAAGTATTGTTTTCTTGTATTCCTCATATTCTTCTGGGGTAAAAAGTTTTCCTTCATCATCTTCACCAACAATTCTTTAAAAACAACAGAAAAATGTCTCAAATTAATCATAAGAGCAAAATGAACTGAGAGGAGCATGTTATACATGTGCACTGCATGCTAACAAGTCACAGAGAGTGGGCGCATCTCATATTTGTATTGCTGTCTATGAATCCACTGGGGAGATTTCTCCCCACATTTTATCCCTGGGACACAAGGACAAGAACGTGGAGGATGGGTTTTAGGATCGGATGGGTCAGTGTTAGATAGTAGGAGTCAAAGCTGCAAGGCCTGTACGTGGGCTCTCTACAACCACGAACAGGTAATATGTCTTATGAAATCTGAAGTGGCCTCCAAATAGAGCTGCAGCTAACGATTATTTTCAAAATCGATTAGTTAGCCGATTAATCGGTTAATCGGATAAACAATAAAAAAAAAATTAAAAATGGCTCCAGTGATGGGACTACTAGTTTGTATTGAGATTGTAGTCCATCACAGGAGCAAGCTTGGAGCGGTGGAAAAAAATAGTGTGGTGTGCAATATAGTGAAAAGGAAAGTGTAAAATTATACAGCAATGAATGCAGAATTGCACCGGCTATAGAGGACTACAAATCCCAGCAATAGTACATTATACAGCGCAATGCAGAATATCACCAGCTATAGAGGACTACAACAAATCCCAGCAATAGTACATTATAGCTGGTGGTATTCTGCATTGCGCTGTATAATGTACTATTGCTGGGATTTGTAGTCCTCTATACAGTGCAGTGCAGAATATCACCAGCTATATAGGAATACAACAAATCCCAGCAATACATTATACATACAGTGTATAATGTATTGCTGGATGTGTATTCCTATGTATAATATACAGCACAATGTACCATCAGCTATAGAGGAATACAAATCCCAGCAATACATTATAGAGCACCATGTGGGGGGGTGGGAGTGCAGGCTTACCTGAGCAGTCTTCCAGCAACTTGCTTCTGAGATCGGGCCTGTCTATCAGCGGCTGTCATCCCCCCACACCTGCTCCTCCTTACTACATCTCCCCGCGTCCCTGTGCCAATCGTGGATGTGGGCGGGCGGTGAGTGTGAGGCGGGGAGGAGGTGCGGCGTGGATGCGGGCGGGCGGGTCTGGCAGCGGCGAGCGTGAGGTGGGGAAGAGGTGCGGCGCGCAGCGTGTGTGGAGCCGTGAACAGGGCCAACTGATTGGAAGCCGATTAATCGATTATTGAAAAAGTTGACAACTTTTTCAATAATCGATTATAATCGACTATGTCGATTAGTTGTTGCAGCCCTACCTCCAAATGCATGGTAATGGCGCTGACCACATTTAAAGTATGTAAGGCAACTTCCCTAGGGTGGACTGGCTTGGAACAAAGCAGCAAAAGCACAAAGTCTTCATTCAAGTGCAACTCTGATACCAGCATGGCTACTAGGAATGCCACCAACTTAGAGGCGGGTTTTTGAGGGCAGAGGGCACCAAAAAAAAAAAAAGGAAAAGAGGAGGAGGCACAGGGGTAAGTCAATGCAGGCAGCCCAGCGGCGGCGTGCACGCTCACAGACATCGTGAGACACAGAAGTCAGCGCTGGATCAGAGACCGGCACCAGCACTGGCGGGACTCCTGAAAACTACTGGAAAGAAGAAGATGGTCGGACCAAGAGGCATTATCTAAGGCAAGTCCTTAAAGGAGAACTATGAGATGAGTGCTTTTCACTCACCTCATAGTTCTAGCCGACCTGTGACAATGACACTGTCACAGGTCGGCTCAGTAGATCGGGAGGTGCGCGAACGCATACCGGCGTTCGCTCACCTCTCGATCCTGCCGCGGCTCTCTGCCGTGACAGGGGAGGGGCTGAATTCCCCCCTCACCGCTCCGATCCGCCAGCGCTGACTGGCGGAACGGACGGGGGAGGGGGCGGGTACAGCTGGCTCTGCCTCTAGATAGGCAGAGCCAGCTGTCAAGTCATGCAGCTGGGCGGATCCAGACATAATTGTCGGGATCCGCTTCAGCTGCGGCGTCTCAATATACAGCTAGCTACAGCTCGCGTTATACTGAGCTTAGGGTGGCGGGAGGAAATATGGGTCTTTTAGAACTAATAAGGACTCCAGAAAAGGGTTAGTTTGCTTGTTTATACATCTTCGGCCACTATCTGATTTCATGGCTAGTTGACAAATGCTCATATGTAGAACAACATTAACCAAAGCTGCAGAATAACTGGCTCATGTACGGCAAACAGACATTTCCATCTCAACAACATCATTCAATATCAATTTGGATAAAGAACCTACAAGAAAGAATTGTCCCATTTGTGCACATCTGACCATTTAAAAGGAGAACTCTGAGGTGAGTGCTTTTCACTCACCTCACTGTAGCTTGCGGTATACTGTGGCGTCTCAGTATACTGAGCCTAGGGTGACGGGAGGACGCAAGTTTGTGTCCTCCCGTTACCCTAAGGAGAACTATGGGGAAAAGCCTTAACCCCATAGTTCTCCTTTAAATGTCACTTTAAGTTGACCATACACCAGTACAATATAATTTGAAAAGAATTTGCGATCTGAGCGTTCGATTTTCTAAGAGTTAATGAAGTCGAACTGACAATTGTTTTTAACTGTAATGACAAAAAAAAAAATTGAAGGAGCTGGATGTAAACTGAACAAAACAGTGATTGGTGAACAGTGAATGTGGTTTTTCAAGAATCTCCATTCATAGCCAAATCGAATTTTAAAATCAAACAAACTTTTTCTTTGGTATCAAGTATTTGTTATTGAGAAGAAGATTAGAAATCAGACACATTACAAGGTATGGAACACAAGAGGACACAAGAAGATGAACTGGGGAAAAACAACACGTGCAGCATTCTGGGTGAAGACAAAATATTTGGAATTGTCCCGGAGATGGAATGAAAAGCTTATGTAGAGGAAGGCACCGGAGGGCTTGGGGACGGAGGAGATAGCGGGTATTATAAACAGAGGGAGAACACAGGATCTAGTCATATAGTGTCGCAGTTCTCTCTCATTCTGAAGAAAATGTCAGGTGTAGCGGGACTTTCTAAAATGAGTAAGGGGGAAGTGGATAAGAGGGAGGGACAAGGGAGATATAGACGTGAAAGAGAGTGGTGTGAGTGAAGGTGAGGGGAAGATCGGAGTACAGAAAGGTCACATTCCCCATCTCGGCAGTGCCCAAGCCAACAGCCCCCAAGGCATGGAGTAAAAAGCACAAGTGGCGAGGGAGGGGGAAAGAAAGTGGGGGGGCAGCGGTAGCTAACGAGCTTGGCATGGTTGCACACATCTCTCCATCCAGCTCTTAGCAACCTGGGAGGCTCTGGCCAGAAAGGGGGCTTCCCCCCACGAGACCCTCAGGCTGCCTCATCATAGGGACGGCACTGGTTGCAGTGTGTGTAAACATGTGCCATCTGGTGCATCACACACAAGTTTTTAGGCTGGGTTCACACCCAGGCGTATCGAATATGCACGTTTCCTGCCGCACGTTTTTACCGCGATTCGCGGTGACAAACGCACGTTTCCGAGGGCTACCTGGCAGTATCCCAATGGATACACGAGGCAAATATGCCCCAAAAAAGCTCCTGTACTTCTTTGGGCGTAGGGCGTTTTGCAGCACGTTCCTACGCGCTGTAAAACGCCCAGGTGGGAACCATGCCCATTGCCAATCATTGGTTTTCACATGTTGAGCGTTTTACAGAGCGTAGGAACGCGCTGTAAAACGCCCAGGTGTGAACCGGGCCTTATGCTATTCCCCAAGACTCTGATGGCATTATTGCATTTTTTCATATGAACGTTTGTACAAAAATCTACCGGTGTACAGCCAGTTTTAAGCAGAAGTTAACTTAAAGGAGAATTTTTTTTAACCCTTGCTGTAGGGCTACACGCGCACTACAAGGGCCTGCACTGCAAGGGTTAAGTGCTCATTTGTGTCTAGGTTCAATATTTCAAAAAGGTATACTCACCTAATCTTCTGAGCTGGCCAGCTCTTAGACCGGTCCCTTCCACCTTGCTCCTCTGCAGCGGTCTAAGGTCCGTGAGTCATAATGATCTATACACAGTGTATAGGATGTGAGGACGCCGAGGGACATACCATCACTGCAGCGGAGGGGAAGACAGACTGGAGGGAGCGGTGTCATAGCCGGCCTGTCTGAGCATACTTGCACATTATGGCAAAAGTTTACATGATCTTTTGGATCTCACGCACACCGCCATAAAAAAATGCAATACAAAAAGGGGGAATTTATCAAAACTGGAGCAAGCAAGATCTGGAGCAGTTGCCCAGGGCAACCAATCAGCATCTCTCTTCAGTTTGTTCAGTTAAGATTTGAAAATGAAAGAGAGAAGCTGATTGGTTGCCATGCACAGCCGCTCCAGTTTTGATAAATTCCCCTCAAAGTGTTTTTTGTTTATGTATCGGAACGCAGTGCAGTGTTTTCAGTGGGGACATGCACACAGATGCATAAGCATGCGCCATATTTAGATCCCTAAGCCCCGATTTCCACCAGAGTGTCACACATTTGCTGTGCATCCCCATTGAGTTCAATGGGTTCCTGGATGTATGCCAAACGCGGGAAAGTGCACATTTTGTGACATGCATTCCACGTTTTTTCCCCCCGCAAGTTCATGCATGTTTTCACGCACTTGAACGAGCAAGAAAACACTGCGTTTGGGGTGCCATTAACTACTAATGGCACTGCAAGCGCATTTCGCGTTTGGTGCACATTTAGTGAACGCACGTCAAAGCGAACACTTTTGTGCAAATATGACACACGTTCACAATACGCTGCGGTGTGAATGGGGACTAAGGGTGGCCACACACGTATCGACTTTATGATACGACCGATGTTCGATTCAACAAATTAGATTGAATCAGGAGTGCGTCAAACCATCGCGCTCTTCAATTGATCCAGATAAGATTCACATCGTCTTCGTTTAAGGCGAGTCGATTGGTCAGGGCGGATCAATCGCGAGTATTTATCTCTCTTCTCTTCCATCTCTATCCTACATTCCATCGACTGACACCATTGTTTTATAATATTTAAATGTCAAATCAATGCGTGCGATCGATTCGTTACAATTGTATCGGGGGAAAAAATCGATCGAAGTCACCTTTCCCGTGTGCGGTCGCGTTATTGGTCGGATATCAATCGTAAACAATTATCGCATGTGATCGATCAAAGGATTGATCTTGAGGCCTCATTCACATCTGTTTTTTGTAACAGTAACGCAAAGGCAACGAAAAATGAATGGGTGTGAATGGGGACAGGTCACACAGCAGCACCGTGTTGCGTTACCGTAGGTTGCACTGGAAAAAGTATTAAAAAAACACATGCTAACGCAACGCATGGCAAGCCATTACATGTCACTTCACATAAAGCTTGCCAAAAACACGACGGAACGCAACAGATCGGAAGGAAAGCAGAAGGTACAATAGCAAGTGAACGGACCTTCTTTTGACTTGGGAGTACCTTTCAAATATGATATGAATCAATACGTGTGTGTAGCCACCATGACACAAAACTGAAAGATCTGCGTACATGCAAAAACGCATGTTTACTCGCACGTTCATATAAGTGCGTAAATCAGGGGCGGACAAATGAATATGGAATTCAGGAGCCAGTCTGCCCAATCCAGGAGCCAGAAGGGTTTTTTTGCCTCATTCACGCGAGAAACGGCCGGCACGTACAGCTCCGTGCGGGGCCGTATCGGGCAGCTCCCGGGAAGGACAGGTGCTGCCTGTGATTAGTACGCAGCCCCCGTCCTTCTCTATGGGAGTACGCGGCCCTACGCTCACCCGCCCTGCACGTCCTTGCGAGCGTACTCGTACGCTGACAGGATGAGGTGGGCGTATGGCCGCGTATTCCCATAGAGAAGGACGGGGGCTGCGTACTAATCACACGCAGCTCCTCTTCTTCCCGGGAGCTGCCCGATACAGCCGTGCATGCAGCATGGAGCTGTACGGCCCGGCCGATTCACGCGTGCATGAGGCCAAAAGGAGCCAGCTCCATTGACAACAACTAGAGAAAACCTCAAAAGTTAGGCGCCAGCTGTGATTTGTAAGGAGCATTGGCGACCTGGCTCCTGGGATTTGTCCAGCCCTGGTGTAAATAAAGTCTAAACCAGAAAATGACACTGGAAGCAGAGCAGGAAGAACGAGAACTTTACGCATGTAAACACATACGTGATTGCGTGTCTGAACACACGCATTTCACTGATTGGAACGTTTGTCCAGGGTAAAAAACGCGTATATGATCAGTAAGGCTCCATTCACGCCTAGGCTACGCCTATTACACACACGTTTCACGCGCGTTTTCAAACATTTTCTATGAAGTCTATGGGACAAAACGCGCTGAAATCTGCCCCAAATTTGTTACGGCCGTGTGCATGTAGCCGTACGTCTGCTTGGCGCTGGGCTGGCAAACACCAGACAGGACAATGCTGCCAGAGATCTCCAGTTACTGGGGGTGGCTGTGTGACATGACTGGGATTTGGGGACAATGAGGAGTGTGAGCAGGACGTCTCCTAGCAACCAGTACTAGTACACACACACGATACCCCTCACCTCCTGTACTCCAAGTAGTCCTCGATGGCCCCGGCAGCCCCCTGGAAGTGCAGCCTCTCCATGGTGTCAGTCAGGTGGAGGAGGTGATCCAGGAAGACGGCTGACACGGAAGGGAGCACGGCCTGTGGGCGGCTCCTCATCACACAACCTGCTACCATGGGGATGACTGAGCTCAGCTGACTCCATAGACAAGACTGCCGATCCCATAACAGAACTACAAGTTCCTGCATGCCCTGCCTCGCAGCTATCTATAGGAGATTATAATGTACAGCTGCCTACGTTTTAAAACATTTTCCATGAATGTTTATCTGCTCAATAAATACCGAAACTAGGAATCCTCATTCTAGGAATAATTCCCTGTCTTCCCTAGTCACTGACCAGCAACAACCATGTCAGGGGTGGGCAAACTCTGGTCCAACTGTTGTGGAACTACAAATCCCATGAGGCATTGCAAGGCTCTCACTGCCACAGGCATGACTGCCAGAGACAGAGACAAGTGGGATTTGTAGTTTCACCACAGCTGGAGGGACAGAGTTTGCCCATTCCTAATGTAGATCATGAAGTTGGGGTGAGGTCAGAACTCCCCCTAAGTAGTTATGTGTGTGTGGGGGGGAGGGGTTGGGGGGCTTCATATGAGCCCATATCACCTGAGTTCACACAATTCTGAGCAGAACGGTCATTGGCAACCCCAGGGGCCCGATCGGTTGTGACATGTAGCTGCGGGGATGGAGAATGCCCCACCACTACTGATTGGCCTGGGATGGGGGTGTCCGTCACAGTTTTGCAGGGGCTTGGAGGTACTCGGGTCACACCAAGCCCTTGCACATCATTACTCCTGACTAGTGATGGACCTGGGCTTGGTGTGACCCGAGTTGGTCCAAACCCACTCAAAACTGTGACTGACAATTGCTCCCGACACAATCAGTAAGAGCAGTTGCGGCGGGGGCATTCCACACCCCTTTATGACGTATCACTGCAGGGGTATCACTTGATGTCAACTCAGGCAAACTGGGTTGACATCAAGCAAGAGCTCATCTCTTCCCCTGACCTCAGTGGGGAAGCTAGGCATTCCGTCACCCAGGGCAAAGACTCAGAGTTGGTCCCCTCCTGGGAGAAGTTCTTCAGCCACAATCCCCCCACTCCACACTTCTGGCCTCTCTTCTTTCTTGCAGTGGTGCCCCTCCTGATCCACTGCAGAGGTGAGGCTTTAAATCAATTAATTCTTTGTTAATGAAAGAGCTGCTTCTGGGCTTGCTTCAATTTTCTCCGTGCGAGTATTAACCCTGGTGTAAAATTTTTTGCACATGTGGAGTCTCAGCAGGGCAAATGTGGAGTCTCTCAGCAGGGCAGATGTGGAGTCTCTCAGCAGGGCAGATGTGGAGAGTCTCAGCAGGGCAGATGTGGAGTCTCAGCAGGGCAGATGTGGAGACTCAGCAGGGCAGATGTGGAGTATCTCAGCAGGGCAGATGTGGAGTCTCTCAGCAGGGCAGATGTGGAGTCTCAGCAGGGCAGATGTGGAGTCTCTGAGCAGGGCAGATGTGGAGTCTCTCAGCAGGGCAGATGTGGAGTCTCTCAGCAGGGCAGATGTGGAGTCTCTCAGCAGGGCAGATGTGGAGTCTCTCAGCAGGGCAGATGTGGAGTCTCTCAGCAGGGCAGATGTGGAGTCTCTCAGCAGGGCAGATGTGGAGTCTCTCAGCAGGGCAGATAGATGTGGAGAGTCTCAGCAGGGCAGATGTGGAGGGTCTCAGCAGGGCAGATGTGGAGTCTCTCAGCAGGGGAAGATGTGGAGGGTCTCAGCAGGGGAAGATGTGGTGTCTCATAGCAGCGGAGGAAGATGTGGACGGTCTCAACAGGGGAAGATGTGGAGGGTCTCAGCAGGGCAGATGTGGAGGGTCTCAGCAGGGGAAGATGTGTAGGTCTAAGCAGGGGAAGATGTGGAGAGCCTCAGCAGGGGAAGATGTGGAGAGCCTCAGCAGGGGAAATGTGGAGAGGCTCAGCAGGGGAAGATGTGGAGAGTCTCAGCAGGGGAAGATGTGGAGAGTCTCAGCAGGGGAAGATGTGGAGAGCCTCAGCAGGGGAAGATGTGGAGAGCCTCAGCAGGGGAAGATGTGGAGAGCCTCAAGCAGGGGAAGATGTGGAGAGCCTCAGCAGGGCAAGATGTGGAGAGCCTCAGCAGGGGAAGATGTGGAGAGTCTCAGCAGGGGGAGATGTGGAGAGCCTCAGCAGGGGAAGATGTGGAGAGCCTCAGCAGGGGAAGATGTGGAGAGTCTCAGCAGGGGAAGATGGGGAGAGCCTCAGCAGGGGAAGATGTGGAGAGTCTCAGCAGGGGAAGATGTGGAGAGTCTCAGCAGGGGAAGATGTGGAGAGCCTCAGCAGGGGAAGATGTGGAGAGCCTCAGCAGGGGAAGATGTGGATGTCTAAGCAGGGGAAGATGTGGAGAGCCCCAGCAGGGGAAGATGTGGAGAGTCTCAGCAGGGGAAGATATGGAGAGTCTCAGCAGGGGAAGATGTGGAGAGCCTCAGCAGGGGAAGATGTGGAGAGTCTCAGCAGGGGAAGATATGGAGAGTCTCAGCAGGGGAAGATGTGGAGAGCCTCAGCAGGGGAAGATGTGGAGAGTCTCAGCAGGGGAAGATATGGAGAGTCTCAGCAGGGGAAGATGTGGAGAGCCTCAGCAGGGGAAGATGTGGAGAGTCTCAGCAGGGGAAGATATGGAGAGTCTCAGCAGGGGAAGATGTGGAGAGCCTCAGCAGGGGAAGATGTGGAGAGTCTCAGCAGGGGAAGATATGGAGAGTCTCAGCAGGGGAAGATGTGGAGAGCCTCAGCAGGGGAAGATGTGGAGCGCCTCAGCAACCTGTCTTTGGCTCTCGAGAGGCATTCACACGGGCAGCCAAGAGGTGGTAAAAACAGATGGTTGATCTGCGGTTTTACCTCCCCCTGACCTCCTTTCTAAAGTGCTATATAGTGCCCTCTCATGCTTGTACACATGTTGTAGCCATAAGGCTTTGTGTGGTGAACGTGACAAATTCTAAACTGCATGTCGCGTTTGGCAGGTGGCGCAACAACCAAGGCAATAAATGGCACTGTGCCGCAACTGCCTGACAGTGGGCATTAGCACGATAGCTGCTGACTTTGTGTCACAGGAGTAGATCATTAAACATACAGGTGAAACTCGAATAATTAGAATATCGTGCAAAGTTCATTTATTTCACTAATGCAACTTAAAAGGTGAAACTAATATATGAGATAGACTCATTACATGCAAAGCAAGATAATTCAAGCCGTGATTTGTCATAATTGTGATGATTATGGCTTACAGCTCATGAAAACCCCAAGAACCCCAAATCCACAACCTCAAAAAAGTAGATTATTACATGCAATCAATAAAACAAGGATTGTACATAGAACAATATCGGACCTCTGAAAAGTACAAGCATGCATATGTACTCAGTACTTGGTTTGGGCCCCTTTTGCAGCACTTACTGCAATTACTTTTGCACGATATTCTAATTATTCGAGTTTCACCTGTATTCCTTTAAGCCAAAAGAGAAGTAAAGCCAAAGAAAAGGTTTGACTTTACTTCTCTTTTAACAGCATTGGTACCATCATTTTAAAAATAATAATGTAATATAAATGACATGGTTGGAGCGCTGAATGTAGAGCCTGCGGGGTCCTTCAAATACTGAAATCCACCTTTGATGACTGCGGTATATTGCCACCTCTAATAGAATTTTCAAACGCAGAGAAAAATAATGATATGCAATATGGCTTTTTGTTGAATGTACAACCAACTCTGCTATTTGCATCAAAATATAATGACCCCATTATATTGGTTCAAAATCCATCATATTGTTTTGTGAATACAAACTCGCTGTGACATTATTAAAGCATGATATGGAAAGAAGCATTTGGCTCTCTAGCACAAAGGATTTGGGATAGGATTTGTGTATATTTGCAGTCTCTGTACTTGTAATCCCAGACAGCTGAATGTGACAGTTTTGCCGACATCTGTTAGAGATTTATCATTGTACTTGCCACAGATTTCCAGTCAAACACACGCAGAACTAAAAAATGATCACGACCATGTTTCATATTGGCAATCTGCTAGTTTTGAGAAGCAGAGAGGGACTTTTTTGCACCAGGCATTGACCGTTAAAGGAGAATTATGAGGCGAGTGAAAATCACTCAGCCTCATAGTTCTAGCCGACCTGTGACAATTAAACTGTCAAAGGTTGGCTCAATAGATCGGGAAGCGAGCGAACACATAGCGTCGCTCGCTCACTTCTCAATCTATCCCTGCAGAGAGCCGTGACTGTCACGGCTCCCTGCAGGGATTCTCCCCCCGCTCCGATCCTCCAGCGCTGACTGGCGGAACGGACGGGGGAGGAGGCGGGTACAGCTGGCCCTGCCTCTAGGTAGGCAGAGCCAGCTGTCAATCCTGCAGCTGGGTGGATCCAGACAGTAATGTAGGAATCCATCCCGGCTGCGGGACGAACTGCAGCTTAGGGTGAGGGGAGGATGCTAGTTTGTGTCCTCCCGTTACCCTTAGGAGAACTATGGGGAAAAGCACTGACCTCATAGTTCTCCTTTAAGTATATTGGTTATGGGGGGCGTGGCCAGGATGTGAGGCTGAACGGACGTCCATTGCAGCAGCTCCGATCATCCGTCTATGGTCTCCTTTTCACATCCTGCAGTTTTCGGCAGCGATAGTGCTGGGTGAGTGGCGGTGAATGTAGAGTTCCCCTTTCTGCTGGTTGGTTGCCCGTGGTATTGTCATTAAGGAAGATGCTACAAAGTAATAAGTAATTACACATACATTTGAGGGGGTAAAATGAATAAAAAGATTTATAAAAAAAAAAAAAAAAAGTATATTGGTTATAAAAATGCAGCACTGTTTCTGTTTTGTACTGCCTTTCTGGTGAAATTTGTGGCCATAAGTCATATGATAACAGTGGTGGCAATTCCATCCAGAGGTGAAGCTAGACATTCCGTCACCCGGGGCAAAGAGTCGCTAAAGAGGACTACAAATCCCAGCAATACATTATACAGCAACGCAGAATAATATGAAGCTTCATAGTCTGTGTTGCTCTGGGGTGGCGGCCTGATGGGATCAGCCTTTCCTGAGACTTCATCACC